AGTCTACTAACTTTTGGTCCAGCTACCATCCATCGTCTCAAAGCTGGGGGATCTGTTCATGTGCCTGATCAATTTCGTTATCAGAAAACATCTTGCTGGTCTTACGTACAGTGAAATTACCATTTGCAAATTCCATTGCCACTTGTGGGTGATGTCTGTGAAGGGAAGCCATATCTCGGAGATGGATCAGTAACCATCGAGCATAATTTACACGATCAAGACCAAACCAATACGGTATCATGCTTGATATGGACTGTTTGTACAGTACAAAATCTGACTCATGAAATGAGCGTACTACCGAAAGCACAAGAAGTTCTAAATTCAAAATTGAACGCCAAAAATTAAACTGTGGTCGAGATGACTCTCTTTCCTGACACCAGTCTATTAAATTATCGAACATCACAGAGTCATCAGCTATATTTTCTGCGTTTATGCTTTCATAAGCCGACATTAACAATTCAAAAAAAAAACACAAGCAGTTATCTAATGTGCGTTTCTAGTCCTAGGTACATTTGAACATACAAGAAAAGAATCTCCCGTTCCAGGTGTTACAATATCGGCTTCAGTGAGGGCATTTGTCTATCCACTATCACACACAATGTCACCCAGAATTTTAAAACAAGCCATTTCAATGTGCAATCCACCAAACATGACGATTAACTTATCTTCTCCGTACAAATCTAGCCATTCCCACTGAATTTGCTTTGCCAAAAAGTGGCTTATCTGTTATAATTGGTGTTTGGCCAGGATTAAGAAGGTTAACCACCTCTTTCACCTTATCCATCGGATGCTTGATCATTGCAACTAAATGGGCTTGTTCTCCAAACAGTGGCATCAAAGAAGTTAAACTTACTTGAATAGAAGGGCCTCGATTTTTAGAGGAATGAAATGACGACCAAGATATGTTTTCGAAATCCAAATCCTCGTCTGTTAGATGAACTACGTTAAGCCATTCATATTCACACAAGAGGCTTTCCTCAAGATAATCATGATCTGGTAATTTGAGTATGATATTAAGGTTATTTGGAGGTGTAGGTTTAGTCTTTAAGTAGGCAGGTCTAATATGAAAAAATATGAAAAATAGAAATTCCTGTTCCATGAAAAGATGTTTTGCAGTTGTTGAACTAGGGTCGTGATCAATATTGTCAACAGGAGCTGTAGTGAAAAGCCCTTTTTTAAAAACAGATGGACATACTAAACCTTCGGACAAAAAGCGTTCAACCACAGCCTCTCCTAGTTGAGTTGATATTTCTAAAACCCGGTGATATGAAATACATAAACCATACTGAAATAAGGTAACGATCAATTGACGCTTCTTGGTCCTTGCAAAAATTTAAAGGATCGTTCACTACTGCCATTTAACTCCCGTGCGATCTATACACCTTCCGGAGGATTAATGCCCATTCCTCCTTAGCTCGGCTATCCCGCGTTGGCACATCCTATCGATTTAGGTACGACTTTATGGCTTTAACTAAGGGGCAAACCATAAAGTATTTGGGTGACTTTAAAATGAAAGCTGACAATGAACCCCATACCGTGTTTATAATCGGCAGCGATTTACACCAGTAAGCCCTGGTAGTGCATGCAAATCGCTATTCATATATAAAAAACGTTTGCGCATGCGCGAAATTGTTAAACGCATGTGTATCATAACCTTGAAAAATGTTATAAAACCAATTCATAATATCATTTAAAATCCAAAAACACTAAGTATATAGTGAAAAGTTTAAAGGTTTTTGTGTGAATTTTGTAACATTTTTCGCGTATGCGCAAATCCTGAACATGTCAACTATTCATTTCTAGTATATACGTCATATGTAGGGAAGGTGGCCACCAAACCTGATAAATTTTTACTAAAAGAAGGTAAAAGAACAATGACGAAAAACAGTTTTCAAGAAAAATAAGTATTTTCGAACTGGAAACAACAGCCATTTTAGAAAAAGGCCGTGGCCATCTTGAAAAAAATGTTGTTTTTTTTATGGCCAGAAGTTTTTTCTTAAAAAGTATATAATTATGATGCTTCGTGCTAATTTTCATGCTTATATCATGATTTGCACAATTCTCTTAATTTTGCTTGCTAATATCTTCCACTTTAACATGTCAAATAAACTTATTATATTTTTGAATTTAGAAAGATCATTTTTTAACTTTGGTCGACAAACTATATATCAGCAGAGTCTTAATAGAAGTGGTATTATACACACATGTATTACTTATTGACGTATGAGACATCTGATATCAACGGAGTAGGTAGCTCATATTTAAATATTGATGACAATATCTCAATATGAAGCTGTTTTCCATTTTTTTTCAGCTTTGCGTCATTTACAAGATATTTAAAAACATAACACAAATAAAAAGGGTCAATTCTAATTAATGAGGTTATGATTTATAGGAGACATTTGTTTGAGGAATAGTATTCAATAAACATAATGTACGATGGATGTCAATAATGAAGTAAAAACTGCTTACTATTTCGAGTTTAATGAGTTCGTGCTTTGTTCTTACGGGGGTTCGTTTACATTTTTCTGTGTTTTTGTGTATGGTTTGAGTGACAGTCGGTCATTTTTATTCGTATTTTATGTCATGGCACTTATTTTGCTTTTTTCTCTTCGATTTCAGGTCTTTTAATTCTCCCTTGCTATTTTGGTCATTATATATAACAATTGTTGAATCTCGGTTTCAAAGTTCAAATTCGTGTCTAGACCATACATTTCCTTTTTAACTTGAAAATATGTCGTGTGTCAAAAACAACTGATGTAATGTCTTAAACATATATTGCTTTCGATGATGCACTGGTGTATAATTGCCAATGAGACAATTTTTCATCAGAGACCAATTGTCATAAAATTGACAATCATAGGTCACCGTACGGCCTTCAACAATGCACAAAACTCATACAGCTTTAAAAGGCCCCGAAATTACAAATGTAAAACAATTCAAACATGAAATAAACTCATCATAGATACCAGGAAAGAAATTTTGTATTTGCGCCAGACGCGGTTTTCGTCTACAAAAGACTCATCAGTGACGCTCGAATAAAAAAAAAGTTAAAAAGGCATACAGCAACATACGACAACCACAGAATAATAAGCTCCTGATTTGAGACAGGTTAAACTAGTTTGCTGGCACCATAATTTTCAATAACATGGGAAAATGTTCACATGTGTTTATCTGTATCTGTGCTTTTTCTTTTCAATATATAGTATGCATTTATTTTTGTTTGTCTTATAATTATAAATTATGATTCTTTTAAAATAATATTGTTATTACATTTATACTTATTATTATTCAGTTCTATAATATCGATAATTATCCTTATTATCCTTATAATTTTATGTTTTAATAATTGTTATTATTCCATAGTGTTCATTATTACTATGTAAAATCATTGCTACTATCATTATTGCACATTTTTAGTAACAACTTTGTACATTTTGTATCTGTTATTGGAAAGTCCTTACATTGAAAAGCAAAAGAAAAATCTGTACTAAAGACTAACTACTTCAAATATTGTTTTATTTGTAGAGAATTTTACACAAATAACAGGAAACTTGTCTGTATTTGTTAAAGAATACTGTGGATTCATTATTATTCGTTGGATACCAATTTTCGTGGATTTCATGGCTATCTGGGAACCACAAATTCCAATGTCCAACAAATTAAAAAATTTCTGTAGGAATGTATGCAGACTTTGGCAAAACCACGAAATCAAATATCCACGAAAATGAAAGTTATCTTCAATGCACGAAAATTGGTACCCACGAAAATATAATGGATCCACAGTATTTGAATTTAAGTCTACATGAGTTCGAGTTCAATATAATGCAGATGGTATGTTTCTAGCAGCTACATAGAAATGCGCGCTTTAAATACTTTTTATTGTACCTCAGTCCTATGTACCCTTTAGTACTCCACGGTTAAGAGCTTACAAATATTTTAACCCCACACATGTTCATGGACCAGTCCATCGTAATGAAAGCAACAATGGTTGTTTTGAGTTATATTTTGATATGTGTTCACTTCAGTAACCCAAGGTTATCTGGTGTATAGAAATATGAACAGAATGGGTTCCCTCCGGATGGCATCGGCAGATAAACCCTTATTGAAAATTGGATGTATAAATACGCAGCTACGTTCGGTCAGAATGAGCACGTTTAATCAGATGCATTTTGTAGATCTAGAGATAGTCCAAGGTCACTTCATGTTAAGTATTACACGAATGCGTCGATTGCATCAGAACAATTTGGTATGATGGCAGATCAATACTGTTCTAGCTTGTTGTGTTGTATTGACACTTTGACACTTGATCAAAGTATATAAGACTGATCTCTCAAAGACATTTGATTTATTTTTTCGACTTAATTGTGACAACATTGCTTTTTTTCTGATATCTGTAAACCAAAAATCCTAGAGTATTGTGTCTAAAATCAAGATCAAGCAACGTAATAAGTATTATATTTATGTTTTATCGTATTTTAAACATCACTTGAATTTTAATAAGGTGATATCCTGGACATTGATTACATGGGTTTTATAGGAAATGTTATCAACGCAATATACATACTATTCCAGGTTTGTAAGTAATTAAAAAAATTGAAAATATGACGCATGCACATGCATGAGACGTGCACGATTTTTCTTTTGTTGACGACATCGATGTTATCAGTATTGATCAATCAAAATAGAGTACTAATTCGATACACAAGATTCAAATTGCATTTTTATTTTTAATTGATGCTTTTTATGTTTTCAGGGCTTTAAAACAGAGAAACCGTAGTTCATGCTTGCATTATAATATTATTAGGTCTGAGTTATTTAGTTCAAAAATACAGAAAGAAAACTAAAAAGAACCAAAGGCTTATACTGTGCAGAGAACATATTCAAATGAGCGCCCTTCTTTAGTTGAATCCAACCTAAGCATTTACGTTGAAATTGATGAAACCGTGTCTGTTGAAAATGCTAATTTCAATAAGTTGTAAAGATAATGAGATATCTTTAAATACTGACAATACACGATACCTGTATCCTTTTCGGGTAGAAGATGACAAAAGAAGCTCGTCAGTCTCTGCAACAACTGTTAATAGCTACTTATCCATCCATGAACACCTTTGTGCATTTTGTATCCGTAGTTGCGAAAGTCCTGGAATTGGAAAGCAACAGAAAAATCTGTGATAAAGATTTATGACTTAAATTGTTGTTTTATTTTTGTAGAGAATTTTACACAACCAACAACAAACTTGTCTGAAGAATCGGAAATAACAAACCCAACTTCAACGAAAAAAAGCAGCGATGGTTGGTGCATTAAAATATATAGTTTAACTAAGAACTGGTTTGATTGTTTCCTAATGAATTTCTAAATATATATCAAAGATAGGTAGAATGGGGTGACAAAATCACGAAATAATATCCACCGTTTATAAGTATTTTGAAATACAATTTCCACATACATTTTTTGTAAAGATTTAATCGAAAAGCTAATAATGTACAAAATGCATTTTAACAAAAAAATAGAATTTAGAAATTGTCCTTAAAACTATCTTTTAAATTCTTTCTTTTTTGTCTAAACAATTTAGCCAACTGATGCGTCTTATCCATAATGATAGTTTTCAATCGTTGTGTGTTTCTTTAGCGGGGTTGTGGGGGAAACTATCAATTCCCTAATGGTAAGTTGGTTTTACTCGTAATGTTTGTTTTGATAATCGTATATTTGGATTTAAGTCTGCATGATTCTGATTTCGATATTGCATTTGATGTTATTATTCTCGCAGCATCATAGAAATGTACGCTTTAAATACCTTTTATTTTACCTTAGTTAAACTTTCCCTTTAGTACTCCACTTCGGTTAAGAGCTAAAAAATAGTTTAACCCACACATTTTCAAGTGCCAGTTCATCGAAAGGAAACTTGGCAATGGTTTTTGTTAATAACATCTTAATATGTGTTGATTAAGTTCTCTAAAGATGGGTGGTGTTTAGAAATATGGGCACATTTGGTCTACTTCCGATCGGTACAGCATGGAAACCCTTTTTTAAGTTTGGTGTATAAATTTGCAGCCACGTCCGGATCCCATTAGAATGAGCACGTCTAATCTGATGCATTGTGTAGACCTAGAGATAGTATAACGCTCACTACTTTATAAGTACATAATTAGCTTGGTGCACATATAAATAACTGTTCCTATCTAATAAACCTTAAATTACAAGTGAAATTCCAAATTTGTCTTGATGTATAATGTGTTCTGTTTCGGAAGATGACAATTTCTACCACTTTACGGAAAGCAAACAACAATCAACCAATAAAACATAAGAATGCTTCAGAAACATTTGATGTGATGCTAGATCGAGACTGTCCTAGCGTGTTATGTCGTATGGACACTTAGTCATAGTAGAAGACTGGTCTTCGAGCGTCATTTTGTTTTACTTTTTTGTTTTGATTTTGACACAATTCCCTTTTTATCATATCTGTTACCAAAAAATTCTCGAAAACTATGTTTAAATGTAGATAGTACAACAAAATAAGAATTATGTTCATTTCAACCATATTTTAACCATTACTTAAAATCTAGTAAGGTGATATCCTGGACATTGATTTAATATGTTTTATAGTAAATACATCTGAAATTTTATCAGCGCAATAAGAATATTCAAGGTTTTTAGTCTATCGTTTTTAGTAATAAAATAAGAAATTATTGTGATATTTTAAACAACATGATTTTTTGTGTGTATTGCTTTATATCTTAAATACGAAGTAAGTTGTATATGGTTTCCCAAACTGAGATACCAATATCATGAATATGACGCATGCACAAGCTTCAGACTTGCTCGAAAATTTTTCTTTTGTTGACGATATCGCTGAATCAATATGGATATATCAAAACAAAGTACAAGTTCAAAACATAATATTCAATTTGTATTTTTCAAACTGTTTGATTGGTGCTTTTTGTGCTTTCAGGGATTTTAGACAGAGAAATCGTACTTTATGCCGTAGTTGCTGCTTGCATTATAGTAACATTAGGTCTGAGTTATTCAGTTCAAAAATACAAAAAGAAAACTAAAAAAGAAACAAGGGCTATTACTGTGCAGAGAACACATTCAAATGAACGCAATTCTTTAGTTGAATCCAACCTAAGCATTTACAATGAAATTGACGAAACCATGCTTGTTGAAAATGCTCATATCAATGTGTTACAGAATGAAATATCTATAAATACTAACAACACAAGTTACCTGTATCCAATTCATATAGAAGATGACAAATTAAGCACGTCAGTCTCTGCAAAAAGTGTAAATAATAGCTACTTATCCATCTATGAATCAGATCAGAACCGCAATTCAGATGAGTCAGACAGAAATGACGACACGAGAAGTTATCTTCATCCTTATCATACGATTAATGAAGACTGGAAAGAGAAAACTCACCAATATGGTATACCACTTGTCTCAAACAAGGACACGGACGATTCATCTGATTCTAGTACGCAAATGATTAATGATGGATACGTAAATCCATATCAACCTCTGAACGAAGACTGGAAGCATAAATCTCACAGTTATGAAGTCCCTGTGAAGGTTCATCATTGTCAGCTTAGTTCAACAGTACCTTCTATATTAGATGAGGAGCTTGAAGAAGAGGGCAATGATAATAATCAAATAACGAGAATTAAGCACAATAAAGTTGCACATATCGATGGAGCAGTTATATCGACCTGTAATAAACAGGAAATGGCTGATGGTATATCCATGAATGATGAAAGGAAAGAAATTTCAGAGAGTATAGAAAATAACCTTGAGATATCAAAAGAATTGACAAATATGAATAATTTCTCTACAAACAGTTTCTCTAGTACAGAAAGAGAAAATGCATTAGTTCCGGTAGTTGAACGTGATATTAAAGATTTTGATAAAAATGAGGATAATCCGCATAATTACAATTTATTGAAAAACGTTACGATTCACACTGTTGCCTCAATTCATACCGATCAAAATACAAACGTACATAATTACACTGATGCTAAATCTCAATAAAAATGTTGACGCTGTACTTTCTTGAATGTAACAAGCGTATTTTTTTATATAAATGTGATGATGTGTGAGAGTTTATTTATCGTTGGGGCAAAGCCGGGCTTAGAGTTATTGCAAAACTATCTATTTAGGGGACGGTGTGAATCAGTTGTGTATACTAAATAATTCCAAAGATGTTAAGACGTTAAGACTTCATACAATCTTAGTCTTACTCATTTTGCAATCGAAAAAAACATACTTGAGTTATCTACCTTTTACACAAGAATTTCCCATTCCAAATTTACAGACAGATCGAAATAATTTGTCTCATACAATAAAATGGCTAACGTAGATACAACATAATTTTTTCAGAAAGAGATAACATATATTTTGTAAAAAAAACAGTTCGATTCAAACAAAACATCTCTAAATTCACATCGTTAAAATGTTTGATATTTTGATTGATAACATATCAGTTACGTTTGAAGCACATCTTTACCCAAACAATCGGCATTCCTGTGGGAATCAACTGTGCTCCTATTTTCTCGACATGTTTCTTTATCTATATAAAGCACACACCTTACTAGAGTTTCTTGGGAAGAATGAAAAGATTCAACAATTGATTATTTATTCTTTATAACTGCTAACATTCAGCATATAAAATCGAACTAAATATTATTTTTATATACATATGCACATTCATGGCTCTATAATCTGTCGATACCTGTATCTTGGCGTTGCAAAGGGTTATGTTTTTCCCTGACTGTTAATGACTTCTTTACATTCAATCAATACTATGTTGGTTCTGTACTAAGTGTCTTTTTTATTGTGGGGATGTATAAGTACCCTGCCTCCTCCGGTCTGTGTTTTTGTTAAATGTATATTTGCTTTATAATGATCTGATGAGTTAAGCCCTTTTCAACACATTTTGTTGTTTGTTCTTATGTTGTACTGTTACACTATTGTCCCAGGTTAGGGAGAGGGTTGGTGCCATCAGACTAGTCGTACCCAGCAACAGTATGTATGTGCCTGTCCCAAGTCAGGAGCCTGTAATTCAGTGGTTGTCTTTCGTTGCTATATATAATACTTGTTTTTTGTTCATTCTTTTGTAAATAAATTAGGTTGTTAGTTTTCTCGTATGATTTTTTTTTTACATTTGTCATTTCGGGGCCTTTTAAAGCAGACTATGCGGTATGGATTTTGCTCATTGCTGAAGGCCGTATGGTAACCTATAGTTGTTAATGTCTATGATATTTGGTCTCTTGTGGAGCGTTGTCTCATTGACAGTCATTCCACATTTTCTTACTTTTATATATAGTATTTAGTTAGACTTAACGACCCTTATCTAGCTGATCAGATGCATAGTGGGTAAAGAGTACAAGCTAACAGACCCCAAAAAGACCGAAAAACTAAAGATTACAGTTTAATTTGTAGTTACGGTCAACCACATCAAAATTTTGAAGAGATAATTTCAACCTCACCATTTGGAACTCTTGGTTCAATATTTTCTTCTATCAAGGAAATCATGATCATAAATGCAAGCCCTGGATATTGTATCAGCTGGGAGATATATATTGCAGGCGCTGCTGGAAGGTTGCTACATAGAAATGGAAAGTTCACTATTGGTAAACTGCAATCATCTCTTTTGTCGTATAATTTTGTTCTCAACCGACCGTCTGTGTCACTTTCTAGAAGTTATTCAAGATATGAGACAGACTTATCTGTTGTATCCTTTATTTCAAGTACATGTACGATAGGATAGATGCGTTCAACATAGTCACCAAACGTTTAGTTATATAGTGAGAGGACATCATCTATATAGCGGAAGGTGAAGTTAACGGTTAATGCTAACTTCAATGCATTGTTTCAATTTTCATTTAGTTTGAGATTGAGAATACTTCTGTGAAGTGTTAATACTATTGCAAGACAAACTAATCTATGTTCTCTAACAGATCTTTGGAATTGTTTAGTACGTTTACTGAGTCATTCTTTCTCATAACTCTGTTGGAGCAGTTTTTGTGTAAGGAATACCCACTTTCAGGTAGAGACTGTATAGTATGACCAGACACGAGCGTAATGTTTATAGTGAAATAAATTAAGGCGATACGATTGGACAACGGGAATGTTGCTGTAAAGAAATGGATATTCGACAATTGGAATGATGAAATCGTCCAAATTCTTCTTTTGCCTTTCCCTTTTTAATCATACGCGATTCGCACCCATCAAAATTATTCACAAAGTACCATGTTTGAGAAGTTGCAAAGTTTTAATATATCTTTTATAAAAATAAAAATAAAGTTGAATACGATATGAATACAACAACAATTCTATCGGATAAACTGCTAACCAGCGTGGGGAGTATACTACAATCGTACTAATTAATATCTGATCTATCTGTAAAATTTGAAAGATCCAACCCCCAAGATATATCGCATTTGGTGTATGCATATTGCCTAAGCATACTAAACAAAAAGACGGAAGATACCAAAGGGGAAACTCCGAAGTCAAAAACAAATTGACAATGCCATAGCAAAAACGAAAACCATCAATTGACAAACAAAAGTTTACGAATCATGCACAACACAGCATAGAAAACAAAGAATAACAGTAACAATAGAAAAACCAAACACCAGGTTGGTCTCAGGTGTTCCAGAAAGGTAGGCAGATCATGTTCTTCATGTGACACCCGTCGTGTGCTCATTTAAGTACATACCCGGTGAGAAGTCATTTTCGGAAGGTCGAAATTGTATTTAGATAGCTCAGAGGCTCGCACTACGTTTTGCATTAATAATTTATACGAAATATTGAACTATGTGCTTAATATGCAAAGTGAAAATATACTGGGTATAGAATTCAGTGACTATTGTGTTTTTGAGATATTAGCATTTACTCTAAATATAGACTATTTGCAGCAATTGGTGCCAGAAAATATGGTTGTATTTGAACTGGTGAATTATTTTCATTAATTTTCAATAATTAGTTAGATGTTTGACCAATTGCGAGGCCTGTATCATCTTTCAATTAGTAGATGTAAATTCAGTATTTGTGAATAAGAAAGTATAATAAACATTGATATTCATATGTTTATTCGGATAGAACTTTAACATACTGTTAAAACAAATACAGTAGTACTAGATGCATGAAGGAGCATCTTCCGCATCTATTTGATACCTTTGAAGACTCTGGTCAACACATGAACACTAGCTATACCAGAAAAGAGATTTCTCTAATGAATACCATAAGCCCTAAATCAAGTGCTTTTATATATCAGTATATGATGTGCGTAGCTTCTTTTTTTCAAAATTCTGTTGAAGTATCACATGTTATGTATGTTATAAAACAAGATATTTAAAATGTATCGTCAGAAAAGCAAGGTTAAAGATCGTGTAAAATTTGCAGAGTAAAGTAAAAAACATAATTATCAAAATCTGTTAATATTTTGAAGATATCAATTATAATGCATAATATGCACTTTTTATAAATAAATGTGATGATCGAGGAAATAACGCCAACAGAAACGTTGACGAGCTAAAATAATCAAGACAACGGTTTACGCGTCTGGCGTAAATATAAAATTTCAATCCTGGTATCTATGATGAGTTTATTTAATATCGAACTAAAGAGAAAAATCTGAGCCATGCACAAGAGAAGTAAATCCTAAATTTCAAATTTCTTGTTAAGTTTATCTGAATCATGTTAATTGCCTAAATAAATTTCTAATGTTAACAATCTTACCAATTGTGTCTTTGATGATTTGTTTTAGTATATATACAGTAACGTTTACTTAAAAGACATTGACATGATATACATTGTGTGACATGTCTGTGGTAAAACTTAAATCTGTAGTTAGTATCGATTTCACAAAAAGCATTTTTAATTGTCATGTTGCACGACATTTTGTATTTGGTAACTTCAATCTGCTACGGTATATGCCAAATATATATAACATGTATAACGCTTAACACACTTTTATCATGTCGAATAGCAAATGAACAACTAAAAAGAATAAACATGTTTTAAAGAAATCTTGTTTATTCCAAAGTTATCCTATTTACAATTTCTTCAGTTGCTCCGGATGCAGACTAAGGATCCCCGTTTACAATTGTACTAGATGCCCGGGAAGCAGAAGGCTACAAAATCCACTTTGTTCTTTAAAATAAAACAGTATTATATACATAAAAAAACAAAATAATGATACAGATTTCAGATTACTGATCATGTTAAATGTCCAAAGATTCAAAACATCTATACATTTTTATTTCATCATGTTTAATTTTGTTTCTTTTCTTTCCAGAACGTCCATTTCGTCAAAATACAAAATTTCTTCAAATCCAGGTATTTACGAAGAGTTTGTTTACGACTTATTTTTGGTTCGATTGACCACTGTGATCTTCATAAAGCATAAAGGGTTCTAGTTTCTTTGTTATTCAATTGAATATTTCATAATATGAAAATGTCTTTGATTTCACTGATGATTATTTTGGTATTGAAATTGAAAAATGTAAATAATATTTTTAGTATTATTTTGTTTGAAGTGTATTGGTATCGATACTTAAACTCGCGAACAGTCGAATATATAGTTTCTATTATCCACAATTTGTTTTTTAAATATAGAACCGAAACTTCACAATTCGTGGGTATCTTCATTTAAAATATCTTTGATGTATTTCATGTTCATTTGAAGAAAAAATATTGATCATTACACGTGTTATCAAATGGTCGAAGCTAATACTTGTCAATCGCATTCCAGCGTATTAACGGTTCATGAAGAATGCGATAAAGAGACTCTATTTGTTTACTTCTAATGAATAAATCGATACTAATGAACTAACTAAATTAATGATTTCAAAGAACTGTAAGTAACATATACATTTTGATACATAATATGACCAGCACATGATATTTGCTATACAATTTGATGTTATTTTTATTTTCTTTTTATATGTTTACAAACTGTTGACATATTTCTTTTATTTGGTAGAATGGCCCTGGAATAAATAAAACAACGTATGTATTGAACAATGTTATGTATCGGTCCACTATACAAAACTTCCTCATCGAATTAAACATCATCCTGTATTCTATCCGGTTTTTTTTTCAAATATAAAATTTGATATGAAATCAAATATTTCCTGATAAACTGGACATAGTGTAAATTCAAAATGTTAAAATGTATTACTTTCTGTATTATATTGTATAACATGGGTAGCATCATAATGACCTTAAAAATTAATGATGAGGGTGTCTGTGCTGATGATAACGGGTATGTAATAATAATATATTAGTTGAACCATACTTCTATTATGGAATCCTTGATGAGTTTTACCATTCTTTTAATTTGTATCAGTGCAAGGTATTTATTGGACATTTTTACCGTTGTTATTGTCATTTTATTCTAATGAACAAATTATATGTAATGCAATTGGTTTTGTTTATGGAAATAAGTTTGTCAAACCTTTGTGTTCTATAGCCACCGAGCACATCTATACAAAGTTTTGTAAGTGCATGTCCCAATTCAGGAGCCTGTAATTTAGTGGTTGTCGTTTGAATCTGTATACCATATTTGTATTTCGTTCATTGTTTTTTTTTATATAAGTCCCCCGTTAGTTTTCTCGTTTGGATTGTTTTACATTTGTCATTTCGGAGCCTTTTAAATCTGACTATGCGGTATGGGTTTTGCTCATTGTTAAATGCCGTACGGTGACCTATAGTTGATAATATCTGTGTCATTTGGTCCCTGGTGGAGTGTTGTGTCATTGGCAATTATATCGCATCTTCTTAATTTTATAAAGACATGCAGTGAACTATAGACTGCATTATTTGGACAAGCAACCACAAAATATGTACGTTTTTGCATTCATGAAGAGTCTAGAGTTTCACAGCTTTCGTCTTTCAATAACCAGGCGACCGCCATTTCGTGATCCATTACATGGGTTTATTGAAGAACTATTTTGTATTTCTTCTCAAATGTATAGATGATTTCAAACATCAAATACTTACGTCCCAACTTGATTTTTTTAGCTTTTTGTAATGGCCTAGAAATAACGTTGAATACATTTTTTCTGAACTTAGCAAAACCAACTATATATCAAAGTTATTTTCAATTGTTTTTCCGATGCATTATATGGGTTTACTTTAGAACTTGTTTGTATATTTTGTTTAATTTTAAAGATTATTGCAAACATCAATTACTTTTTATAATGACCTAGAAATTACATAGAATAACATGATTCTTAGAGCGATAGATTGATCTAATGTTTTTACAATGCAATATGAAAAAAAGAAGATGTGGTATGAATACCAATGAGAAAACTGGTCGATAAAAAAGTTTAAAAAATGTACAATGTAAAGTTTTTTATACGACCTTTTACAATGAGCCAAACCAATACCTCAATTTACTAATATAAGGCCTCGGATTGAAAAAATGGGAAATAATATAACAGGCAAAATAAAGTACGTACTTTTTGATAAAAGAATATGTTTACATTATCACTGGAGAGCATTTAGTTCTGACATGGGATTGGTATTTTAGGATCACTGTCGTAAATTTTTAATTTTTCGAAGGCCTTTTATTGATTCAGCTGAAATTGATGACCTTAGCCGTATTTTGCAAGGTTTTTCAGAATTTTAAGCTTGCATTGCAATTCAACTTCAAGTTCGATGTGGACCTCTAATATGTAGTAACCGAGAACAATTTATTAGTTTTATGTAGACGAAACTCGCGCATGGATTAACACATTATAAGCCGATTATTTATGTTAGAATTCTACAACAATTCGATCGATGCCAATGCTGGTTCCCGATGTTATTCCCGGTGTATCAGTTAGAACTTTATGTTGACACAAACTTATAATACCTTTTTTAATCTTTTTTTGACTGCTAAGATTTTTCTGACCCCAAAACAAAAATGTTCTTAACCGTATTTAGCACAATTCTTCAGACCCTTTGCCATGAAATGCTCGTTAGCTTCATGTTTAATTAGGCTTTCTAATATTATTTTTTCGAGCGCCACTGATAAGTTTGATCTAAAACAAAAAAGGTAAGATTAATATATTTCATGAGGTGCTGTGCGTAACGTACTGTAAACATAAACAACAATTCGATTGCAGTTTACAGGCTTTGACATGTTGAGGAAGCAGTCGTCGGATGACGACTCTTCTTAGAGAGCAGTTGTCGGATGACGACTCTTCTTAGAGAGCAGTTGTCGGATGACGACTCTTCTTAGAGAGCAGTTGATTTTTGTCAGTACCGCATTGTTAAGATAGATTGTCATAAATCCATTTTCTTTAAAATGTGGTATCTAGAAATGCATTTTTTTCGCTTTAAAAATAAGATATAATTGTATATTAACTGATGGAACTTATAACAACGTTCTGAATAGAAGTGTTGATGTTCTACGGTACCATTCTATTTCATTGTGATGTCACTTATTAATCAGAGCCAAGAAAAAAGTTTGTATGGTAGACCCGAAACGTTGTATACCTTGAGATTACCAAGATAAATGTTAGATAAATATATATAAGTATATTCATCTTATGCAAATCCTTTTCTTTTGTGGATCACATTAATTTACACTTTTAAGAAATAAAGTATATTTATCTATTTCAGTATGTACACAATTGCCGTCCGCCAATACGTTGTATAATATCTTGTTTTGATAACTATTATTGGATCGATTCCATATAGAATATCTACAATTAATAAAATCACTGTATAGGTAGCACTGAGGTCAGAAAGATGATTACCGCTGACAAAAGGAGCATATTAGATAAAAGTACTCCACAAAAGTGGCACCAGATATCAAAAGGGACGTTTAAAACTCAAAAGTCGAGATAATCTGACAACGACATGGCGAACAATTTATACAATATACTTACCCTTCTGGAGTACCTGAGACAACCCCTTGTTTAAGTTGGGTTCGTAATGCTCAGTCTTCTCAATTGTGTGTTCTCTGTTCTGTTGCTTTTCTTTTTGTCGTTTTTATGCCATGGCGTTGTCAGATTGTTTTCGACTTATGAGTTTGACTATCCTTTTGGTATCTTTCGCATCTTTTATACAAGTTATAGAAATTGAGCCATCTTAGAAACGGTTGGATATTGGATAAATATACTAACAACCGGTGGATCAACATTATGAAACCGTTAAGGTCGAATTTTTGTCTATACTAACACCTAGTAGAAAAAAGTCAGTATACTAACGACCATACTAGAATTTAGTAGATATTTGATCAATATTCTTTGAAATTTGTATATTTATAAAATATGTGTACTTTCTTTATATTATAAACGTTATATTTTTCAGAAATCTTTCATGTTGCTTTAACCATAGGCTACATAATGGTATCTGCGTTGGTATGTATCATGTTAATATTTTACATTAAACATATCTAACATCATTCCGACAGTAGTCAGTAGTTCTCCATTAAAAACCAAGTATTTCAATTCTCTGCTATCAACAGGGATATAAGTGATATTACGTTGTAAAGTTCAAAATTATAAAAATTACCATTTTGGTCTCTTTACATAACTGTCTCTAAACTGCACTTATATAAATGTTATCCCTAGAATTGAAAGTTTAGAAATTAGACAAATAATGTAATTGTTCATGTCTATATGCAGTATCCTTTGGAAAGCTCCAGTTTATCCTACTACGGGATTAGTTGCAAATACTTTCGAAACAAAAAAAAAAAGATAAGTTTAAGGAAACAAATGTTTTTCGATCCTAGCTGGGATCTGTTTATGAAGTTGAGAATTTTCTTTTAGCAACAATTAAGTACTTATTAAATACAATCAGTATAACATGTGTCTAACATATTAGTGTTTATTCCAATTGGTCACAATTTCTGGCTTTCTTTTCCACTATCAATGCATTTGCACAAAATGGAACTAAAGGCGGCGACGAAATTTATATCTTGTATTTGTGAGTACTTTAATATAATTAGAAAAAAAGGTTTTTGATTATTTTACACGTTCGCAAATACGTCAGCTTCATTTAACAATGATGATTAAACCAAACTCTTAATTTTAATAATTATTCGACTGTTATCGTTTGACAGCATGCTCTATTGGAAACAAAGTGGAAGACGGTGTGTGTGTTCCTTGTAGGTTGAATACATACGGCGATCAATGTCTTTTGACGTGTACCTGTTATTTTGATCAAAGGTATATAAATTATATATTTAAATTATTAAATGTATTTTAACTTTTTGTTTGTCTTTTGTTTTTAACAGTATATTTTTTACAAGTCAGTAACTAACATTTAGTTCCAGGATTGTGTTTACTTAGTTTCTTAAAGATATATTGGTTTTAACAACAGTTTTATGTGATGAACCTAGAATGAAATGAAGCATAAATTGCTACCTTAATATATAATAAAGAAGTCTCATGGTGATAAAGGCGTATTTTTCTGTTAAACCCTCACTAGTAAATTTATCATTTCTGTATTTTCATAATACAACGAGGAAAATCTTTTATAATAAGATATAAGATATAAAGTTTTTTCTAAAAATAAGAGTAAGGGTAATAATGTCTTAGATCAACAAAAAGCAAACTAACAAAGGCAAAAGCAAACATCTACAGGTCAATTTAAATATACGTTTTATTCCTGTTCATAAAGTTCATCGGATAGTACCAAGACCTAATATCTATAGATAAATGTTCAGTGTCTGGTTCACAAATTATACAATATGGTCTTGAGTTAAAGATTCTAGGTGCTTAAGTTGTGTTATATTTTACTTATCTTACATTTTTCCTTTTATTTTATTTTGTACTGTATCTTTCGGTCATGTGACTCGGTATTAATGCATTCCTGGTGCTAGTGGGTTCAGAGGTGCGATTATGACGGAAGAGGCATTTACAGTGTTATTTTCAGTTTGTTCACCCTCAGTTTGTATTTATATTTTACTTAATGTGTACTTTACCGAGCCAGTGTGAACTTTATACTACATGTACTATCAACTACAAAAACGTTTTTGTTGGCATCTTTGTCAAATTTATTTTCTTCTACAAACACTCGTTTGTTGGTATCTTCGTCAAATTTACTATATAACAACCTTTTTTTATTAACGTCTGAGATGTATGTTTACACAGTTTTGGCTACTGGATCCCAATTATTGGTCACATTAACCTTCTACGTCTGATGGGCTGCGCACTCAATTTTGTCAACAAGTGGGAGAGAGCTAGCAATAAAATCAGGTTTAATCCACCATTTTGGTCGGAAAATGCCCTGTACCAAGTCAAAAATATGACAGTTGGTTTCCATACTTCTTTATGGTTGATCAAAAAGTGAAAAAGGCCAAATATAGTACGATCTTGAAGAGCATTGAGGACCAAGAATCCGAAAGGTTTTGTCATATAAAACGGTGATGAGAAGAAGGCCTTAAATTTCCAATTGTACAATAGCAAGTGCTAACTTATTAGTATTGTTGTCCGACTATTATCAAATTGATTGCTGACTTGACTTAAGAAGATGTGATACATATATAGTTATAGTATTAAAGATGCATTTGTTTTCTTTTACCAGGTGTCATCATGTTTTAGGATGTGTTAATGCATCCACCATTATACGCTCAGCATCCACATTCACGACTATTTGGAGCACAGGTAAAAGTAGACAATTTCAAAGATTGTTAGACATATTAAACAAAACGTGTCTAATACTATGAATTAATAATATGTTCAGTTATCACAATGATAATCATGGATCCTAGTACATGTATTAGTTGCGGAGTTCCTTACAAGAAATATTTCAATTTTTTGAGTGAAAGTTTCAATCTGGTTTAAGAAAGTCATAAATATTTGATACTTATTTTAGCCATGTATTTGATCAGTTAAAATTAAAAATTTTAAAATTACATATTCTTAAAAAGGTAATAAGGATGTGTTTACATAATACATTTATCGTGGTAAGCCCAAATAAATGAAGCTTTTTGTGTCAAAATTGATAATTGGTTCGAGTCCTCTTAATATATACAGATAGATATAAGTACCTCAACCCAAATAATCCCCTCCCCCTCAAGTATTTAATGGTAATTTGTTATTATTTTATTGTTTTCGGGACCAAATCCAAAACAAGTTGAAAAACATATTTTTAATCATATTTAGTGTGATTTAAATGATGTTTGTTTCAAATATACCTCGTTCGTCTTTCATTGAATATAATATCCCCGTGGTATTATAGATCAGTAATCTAAATTTGAAGTAAACATTAATGATGATCATTTGAATATTTATGAGTTATTAGGCAAAATTATAAAGTATGATATCTGCGCTTTTATCAAACATCCGGTTTTACTTCTCACTTACTGATGTCGTATCCTCTGTCATATGCATATTAAACACTTCATTGTGTTCTAAAACACCTTGCTTGAGATGGTTATTTTACAGTAGTCATTGATAAAATAGAAGGACCGAAAACCCGGTTTATTTTTAGCTTAGGTATTTGCCTTAGCCTGAAAAAAACATATATTTGCTACAGGATGCATTTTCTTATTATAATTATCTGGATAAATATTGCCTATCTTCGAAAACAGTAAAATAACAAAAAAATATCGAACGTCAGAATTGATCATATGAAAGACTATTCAAATAATTGTGTTCTCCCTTTTGTTTGACAATTCATTTTATGCATTAACTAAAGCAAGTCAGGAAGATGATGAATTTTTATATTTTTGAAATTTCAAACGAAGGGGGAAACTGGAGGGGGTATGATTATGAGTCTGAGTATACTTACTTCTTTTCTCTGAGTAAGACACATAAAAAGAACATCAATGAAAGTATATATCAGATAAAATATATGTATGAAACACAAAGCCGGTGTTTGTTAATGGAAACCCAGGAAATTGGATTCACAGCTAAATTATCGTTTTGACTAATCGTGCTTCACAGGGACATCACAGGACCTTAAACATAAAGTGATTAACAACGACTAGCTAAGTGACCGATTGGAAAATAATTGACAATTTTTTTCTTTCCTCATATTTGTACTACATTTAATAGGTTTTTGTTTTTGGCAATGTGCAGTCAATTCCTAAGATTTTAAAATTTGAGACTGGCTTTGCAAAGACCTTGTAAAAAAACCTTAATATATCAATGTTTTTGTTGTTGTAGAAAATGTAACACAAAAAAGAACCACACTACTCGAAACTGTTGAAGAACTAAGAATTACAAACCCAACTACGACAAGAAACAATAACTATGGTTTGTATCTAAAAAAAAACATTATTTTGAACATTTTGTTCTTTTCAATAACGCACCGTGTATACAAAATGTTAATTTATGATAAAAATAGAATTTGTAAGCAAGCTAGACATTCTTTATCTCTGACATATGTTCTAACTAGAACTATCTCTAAGCACGCTACACATGCTACATCTTTAATATAAAATAATAGGTAAACATGCTGGTTGTTATGAAAAATGTATTAAGTCATATCCATAACTTCAGACCTGCTGTAACCATATCCCACCATAGCCATGAGCTTCAAATAATTAACAAGATCTGCTTCTTCATTTTCATTAAATAAAGGAGCTGGGTCTGACTTGACAGATTCAGGATTTAAATAACCACTCAGTCTATGTCGTAGAGTAGCCTCATATACTTCTTATCTACGTGAGGCTGTCCGAATAGAAATGCCGTGTTATTTTACTAGCTTATATGAATTATTCAATTATGTTGGTCAATATTTTCTGTACTCTTTAGTAAATTTCTGAAAATGAAACATATTATTCAAATTTGAGGTAAAATTGTTTCAAATTTATGAAAGTGATATATATTCCAAAATATTTGACTACAAAAAAAAACTATTCAATACGTTCAATAATAATGTAATTGTAATGCAATCGTAATTTGAATACTTTTATTTATATATGTAGCAAACCATGTTCTTTTAAAAAAATATTCAGACGTTTGTAACTCAAAAGCCAAGTAGCCGAAACTTATGTACTAGCAGTGTTTATAAAAAAAAATTCATCATAGTGATCAAGCTTTTAAGCAATGTCTCGAGCATCACAAGCGTCTACAAAAGACGCTCGAAAAATTAAAAAAATAGAAATGGAACGAAGTTGAAGAGGAGTGAGAACTCAAAATTCCAAAAGGTTTTGCCAGACACAGATAAGGCAATCTATTCATGTGGAAGAAAAACCTTAGTTTTTCGAGCTAGTTTTGTCAGCAGTTGATTTATATATATGTCTATGTAAATGACAATTCAGAAGTACTTTTTACTAGTGATACCCTCTGGTAGGAAACCTCCACCAACAATGGAATCGACCTATTGGTTATAAAGTTCGGTAATAATTATGAAGTTAATGAATACATCTTTCCCATGCAAAGCTTTGATTTCTATTCCGGGTTTTGCTTTACTTTTGACCTTTTCCGTTGCAACAGCTCTTCGACGTTTGTATTAGGTTTTGGATTTTCAAATAATTTTGTCTCGAGCATCACCGAGGAGATATTTATTGCAGAAATATGCATCTGATTTGTACCGTCATTGTTATTGTAAAGTTTTTTGTTTTTTTGAAAACTATATATATTTCCGTATCATACTGGTAATTTGGATGTTTAACTTTTGAATTCATTAATATATGTTATGTTTTCAGGGCTATTAGACAGGGAAATAGTTATATATTCAGTGGTTGCTGCCTGCATCCTAGTAATATTAGGACTGTCTTATTTAGTTTTTAAATACAGACAGAAGACTAAGATAAAGTTTGATATGTCTAATACCATGCAGAACACACATTCAAATAGAAGACATTCTTTGATCAATTCCAACCTTAGTATATACGACGAAATTGACGAAAATATGATTGTAGAAAATTTAAATATAAATATGGTGCATATCAATGATAGAATTATTGATGATGAGTTACAAAAAAATACTGACAACACATGCTATCTGCATCCTATTCATTCAGAAGACAAAAGCAACAGCACGTCTGTTTCCGTCAAAAGCGTAAATAACAGCTATTTATCTTTCCATGAATCGGATCAAAACAGCCGTTCTGATCAGTCTCAAAGAGATGAAGACACTACAAGTTATCTTCATCCTTATCATACAGTTGATGAAGATTGGAAAGAGAAAACTCACCAGTATGCTGTAGCACATGTCCAACGCAAGGACACGGACGATTCGTCTGATTCTAGTACGCTAATGATAAACGATGGATACTTAAATCCATATCAACCTCTGAAAGAAAGCTGGAAGCAAATATCGCACAGTTATGACGCTCCTGTGACGGTTCATCAATGTCAACAAAGAATAACATTACCTTTCTCATTTGATGATGAGAACCAAATAATTAAGGATGAGCAAGATATGTTTCTTCCTAAATTATTAAAGAAAGACAAATCGCCTGAAATCTGTCATAAAAACAAAAACGCAGTTACCAATCCACAATATTAATATTGCAGGTTGTATAACGGCAATCAAACAAGAAATAGATGATGTACCGATGCTATAATCTCTGTATTAACTTATAAGGAAATGAAAGAAATTTCAAGGAGTACAAGCAAAATTCCTCCAATATCAAAAGATTTGAGAAAAAAATGCAATTCATTTGAAATAATTGACATAAGCACTTCTGCCTCAAATTATAGCGATCGAAATACAAACTTTAAAATTTACGCAGCTGCTAAATCGCAATAGTCCTCGAAGATTAGGTTATATAATGTTATGGTTGGGGACAGTTTGCTGGAGGTTGCACTTCTGTTTGTATTAATTACACAATGTAATTTCCGATAAGAAGTCATTTAAGGCTAAAACTGTGCCACTTTTACTATGAAGTTTCGTAAAAAATCCAGGGATAAAAAGTTCATATGCACTACTATTTTTGCAAAGGTCAAAACATAGCGTTGTGCGGTGTTTTCTTTTTGACGTTTATTGACCTCGAACTTCTAAGAGTTTGAACTACTCTTCCCTTTACTTTGAGTTTTCCTGAGAATTCAGTTTGTCGGCTATCCAACAGTATGTATACTGTTTTTAAATTTTCCCATGTTGTGTCTCTATGAGATGAAAGATGGAGATCATATCAAGAAACCAGTAGGTAAACAAAACAAAATATCTTTGAATATTAGGTATCTCTCAAAAAGAGGCGTCGTTTGCGAATCAGCTGTATTTACAAAGTTCAGCCTAGATCAGTTTCAAGTTAACAAACAGTGTTTATGCTTTCACTTTGATTAAAGTATGTTTAGGTTTACATTGAAAATGTGATTAAAGCTGCCCCAAGAATATCATTATTGATTATATTTTGATTTCTCAAAATGTTTACGTCCTATTTATTGTACGGGAAGGTAAACGACTACTACGACACCCAATAAGATGATGAGGAGGAGGATTCATTTTAAAATAAGGAGATGTGATGTGACAGCCAATGAGATAATTATCAAAAAAATCCAAATAAAGCAAATTTAAATAACTACCGGTTATCGTACAGCTTCAACAATCAGTTTTTGAAGGACATGATGATGGTTTTTGCTTATTTGATAAATCGAGATTAATAAAAAAAAAAATGAATTATTTCCAAAGAATTGTTACACAAATTTAGAGCACACTTATGCAAAAAAGATGTTCCAAATGTTTTTTTTTTACAAAAATGCACTTGTGCATGTTGTGTTTATTTTTTGAAACAAAATAGTTAGGTATATCTGTTCTAAACGATAGAAATGTCCGAGAAACCGAAATTATGAGTACATGTCTAAAATTTCGAAATCCATTTATCTCAATAAGTAGCACGTGGAGGTTTTTTTTATAACATATTTGAATTGACTAGGTGAAAAAAAGCTTGTATCCAAATTTTCTTCACAAACTCTAGATGGATCAAAACTGTATCATATTCCATTACATTTCAATTATGTCTCAAAATTTATATTCAAAAGACGATCTTGATAATTTACAAACATCTGTTTCACTGAACTCTGTTTTTGTTGTAAATTCAAAATTATTTCCTTATCAAAATACCATAAACAAAATGTTACAAATTTTTAATATAAATAAAACAGTTTCAAGAAATTTATGTATTTTCCTTAAAGTATTGAAAGTGGCATTATCTTATCGTTTGTTAAGTTTTTCTTTTTATCAAGCGCATCAGTAAAATATCCTTAGTAAAAAATTCTTGTAGAATCAAGTATCATACTGACTATATTGACTATTGTTTGAGTAATATCCTGGATCCAACTAGAAATTTAGTGCAATCCAGAATCTTCCTTGTACAAATCTGAATATCTTCTAATGTCTACTTTATGTACTAGTGAATATTGGAATCCTGATTTGTACTGGATTTCGATAAAACCATAAATCAGAATTCCGATTTCTTCTAGTAGATATTGGAATTCCAATTTGTAAAAAGAGGTTTCTTGATCATACAGAATTCCATTGTACTGTAGCATCAATATATCTTTTTTTTTCTTTAGATATCCGTGATGGTATTGTCGTTGGTCATGAAAGTCAGAACGGTAAATATTAAGGATACAGAGTTCGAACTTTATACCTACGATGCTAATGACAGTTGTATTATTGTTTATCTGTTGTTGTTTTTTTCTGGACCAACATATTGTTTTAATCACAAAGAGTATTATATATTTCATTTATATATAATGTTGATATTTATTTCCTTTTAACTTTCAAAAAAGTAGTTTTACGATTTTTGCTGTTATATAAACCTTTATTTAACATAAAGTCCGTTCAATGTTGACGTTATGTGTATTCGGACCACTAATGATCAAACAGAGAAAATTTGACTGATAGCATATATTATCAATCTTAAACAAAGGTAAACGTTTGCTATGATTGAAAAGAAATACGAAATTCCTTGTTCGTTAAACGTGATAAACCTCTTGGTATAAAGGATGTAAATTTTACAGTTTTGTAACTATGATGCAATAGCTGTCATCGTACAACGGTTCGAATTAACAAATGCCAAAACGAAATCGAACATTAAATCATGTTCAATCCTGACATCCAGAATAAAAGTCTTTGTTCTTTCAAAGAAAGTTTTTGATTCATTTTTTTTCTTTTAGTTACAGTTTTGTCGTTCTATATTTTTGTATGCTTTATAATTATGCCGCTTTATTTCATAGTTAAATTGTATTGTATTGATGTTTGATTTAATATGTCGAATGTTGAATGTTATTTCATGGGTTAACAATACCAACCTCAATAAAAAAAAAAGCTCAAAAATAAAAACAATAGAATGAAAAAACGATATATGTAGCTATAAAAAATATTGAATATAAATGATAGAAGCTCATTGTTAATGAGAGAGCGATATAATTTGTGTGCATATATATCTAGAAAACTCATCAATAAACCGCTTTAAGAGTATACATTATATGTTATAGTATATACGATCTTAATCCAGTGGTATCATGCACGGATCTAAGACTTGTGATTATTTACTAAAAAGATCGCAAATCGATCCCCGAATGTGCTGTAAGTTTTTGTGAGGTAAACAGTTCGTAGTTAAAATTCAAAATTTAGAATATAAGTTAAATCTAGTTGATAATGGATTCTAAACAAGTTATCTACAGTACTGACGTCAGATAAATGAGTTAACAATGCTAATGGCTAAATAGACTTTTCCGTAAGTAACCTACATAGATACTTATACCAACACGATACCTACACTGACTAAGAAATAAGAGGAACCGTATCAAAAGTCAAAATATACTGAATAAGTGATCTCTTAAAATTTGAAGAGGCGAAAGATACCGAAGGGACATTAAAATTCATAAGTCGAAAATAAACTGAAATGGTAAAAAAAACGAAAAAGACTAAAAGACAAACAATAAACAAAACACAACATTACCATGAATTTTGTCATTGCAAAATATGGTATCACAGCTCCCGATTCTCGAATCCAGTGGTCTTCCTTTTGTCTACGGAGAGGTGTTGCAAGATGAGGACTGTGAGTCCTGTGGAATGTTTTTTTTTCGATGAGGCGAACTTGCATAGAAAGGATTGAATGATCAGTACTGATTAAAATGCTGGTAAACAATTTTGCTTGCATTATTGTTTATGATTGATCTTTGGCCGCACATACGTTTCTTAAGCCTTCCGTTCGTTTCACCGATATATACCAACCTGCAAAGTTTAAATTCTTATCCGTAGACGAGATTTGTTGATTTACAATTCAGATCACTGTACTTTTGATAAAGCAAGTTTTGTTAGTTAAATGACTAGTAAATTGAGCAAATTTTACCGGTTTTGCAGAATTTGGTATTACATTTAGAAATGAGAGTGTTGTTCAGAATCATTGAAGTCCAAATGTCTTGTAAAAGAACTGAATACTGCCGCGTACGAAGATTATTGCAAACGTTATTGGTATCATGATCTGGATGTGTTAAATTCGAGGTATTTGTCAAGTCTGGTGATGAATGACATCTGCCATGTCAGGCGTCACCGTGTTCATGGTGACGTCTGTTTCGGAATTTTTTATACAGGGCGACGTCCACGCCAGTATTCTGATTGATAAATTAATACATAAAATGCTACTGACTGGGCGGATGATGTCGTTGGGGATAAAATATCTACCAGCAGAGACATCGATCCAATGGTTTTAAAACTATAAATTCTGTAATTATTTTTTTATTTTTTTTAATACTGAATCGGAACTAGAAACACCGCCTCTGTTTTGACAATGGTTGTGCCACTGCAGTGACAGCAATATATCAAAGATAAAAGGCAGACTTAGTCTTAGATGCATGATTTTTTTTTATTAGTTGTTATTGTCTTTGAACTAGCTGGCAGTAACTGCGAGTACTGTCATATCTGTAATTAGTGTCTTTTTACTGTATACGTACCCTGCCACGTCCACTCTGTGTTTTTGTTAATTGACTTTGTGCTTTGTATCGATCTGATGAGTAAAACCCTTTTCAACAGATTTTTATAGTTTATTTATATGTTGTACTGTTACACCACTGTCCTAATTTAGGTGGAGGGTTGGGCTCCCGCTAATATGTTTACCCCTGCCACATTCTGTATGTGCCCGTCCGCAATCAAGAGCCGGTTATTCACTGGTTGTCATGTGTTGTTGTATATCATATTTGTCATTTTTTGTTCATTATTTTGTACCTAAATCAGGCTGCTAGTTTTTTCGTTTTAATTGTTTTACATATGTCATTTCGGGGCCTTTGCTGAGTTTTACTCATTGTTGAAGGCCGTAAGGTGACTTATAGTTGTTACATTCTGTTTCATTATGTCTCTTGTGGAGAGTTGTCTCATTGGCTATCATACTAAATCTTTTCATTTTTATATTAACTGTATATGGTATATACTTTATTTCAAGTTCGATAGTATTATTGTATTTATAATAGATACTAAACTTTGAATTATTCATTGAAAGGACATCATCTGTACAAAGGAACGTGAAGTTAAAGGATAATGCTAGCTTCTATCTATATATTCTTTCCTAGAAGCTCATGTATAAAATCGGAATCATATCAATAAATGAACCAAGTTTGCAAGAAAAGGAGCACAGTTTTCATGGGAAGCCGATTGTTTGTATAAAAGCATTTTTATCCGAACGAAGAAAAAAAACGTTATTAGAGAATTTTATGTTTGAATCAGACTGTTTTTTTTTTTTTTTTTTACAAAGAACGGTTTATCAGTCCCTAGAACAAAACATTTTCATTTACATAAGCCATACATTTTAGGACACAGAGCAGGATCAATTCTTTAAATTTGTCTTTTAGTTTGAAATGGAGAATACTAAAGTTTTGTGTAAAGGGTTGAAAAAATCAAATATTTTAAATGTCCAGGTTTGATATAATCTTATTATTTATTATAACTGTATAATATTTATTCTAATTTCAAAGCTGTAAATGATGTTTCAACAAAAATTCATCGATACAAACACGTTTTAAGAAAATTCATAGACAC